AGCCAAAAAATTATCCTTAATTTTGTATCCATTGTCAACGCAGTGCAGAAGCTGCCAGACCTAGATAGCGAGCTCATAGGCTGCTCTGCGGCAACTGCAGCAGGAGCCTCTGAGCGGCGTATGCCCCAGGATCCTCTGAAAAAACTTTAGTGGAACCGCACTCTTGCCCTCGAATTGTCTCAGGCAAGTCAGCAGTGACTGCACGCGCTTGCTCATCTCGGCCGCCAGGGCAGAATATGCTTGATCGCCTCAGTCTGTTTCTGGGTGGCTGAGAACTGTTGGGTGAAGTCCTCAACCGCACTGCCAAAGAGGCCAGCCTTGGATATGGCAGCCCATTCTCACCCCCAAGGTGTCACCTAACTGACGCCTTGGGAAGCATTTTGACCATGCTTCAATATCTGACGCTTTAGGCGCCCTTTAGCGTCAGTGAGATGATGCACTAGGATCGCGTGTAACCCTACTCCTACCCCAGACCTATACCCGCGTCATCTAACTGACGCTAAAGGAAAAGCGTCAGTTAGATGACGCGGGTATAGGATCGCGTCGTAGGATCGCGTCATGTAACTGACGCTAAAGTGTTGAATATTGAAGCATGGTCAAAAGGTGACGCCTTGGGGTGAGAATGCGTTGGATATGGGGGTGTCAAGCAGCCAAGACCGCCCGGCATCTCGCATATCAGCCATGTTCAGCCACAGGTGTCGCAGCTGGACCACCACAGTGGACATCACCATACCCAGGGACAACCTTCGTCCCCTAGAAAGCGAGGTCGGTGGCGATACGCAGCTCATCGAAGAGCCCTGGGTCTGTCCTACCCTCATGCATGTCTCTGAGCATCTGGGCATGGTAGACCTTCCTTGTTGTTCGACGGAACTCGTAGTGACAACGAAAGGGAACTTATTATGAATGATTTTTCTTTTCAGGATTCCTTGATGAATTCTATGTTTAAAAGAACAGGATTTATTTTAGATGGAATTTTTCTGTAATGTACTCTTTTGCTTTATAGAATCCAACAGACTATGTATGATGCAGAATGAATTATCAAAAATGACTTCAATGTCTTTCAACTTTATCCTTAACTTTTCAGACAATGAACAAAAAGAGCAGATGGCTTAAATACACAGAGGAAGATCATTAAGATCAGGGAACATGAGAACTAATTAGAAACCATGAAAACTAATAAAGAACTAGAACACAGGCAAAAGGTAACAGGAAAAATTAAACTGGACATGGCAATGAAACTAAACAGAACATGACCGTGACAATGTCACCTGTGATTTGCAAAAACAAATCAATTGAATGGCGGTGTACGTTAAAGAATGTTGTTCGCTTGCAAATAATAATACTTTTTTTTTTTTCAGAATACATAGCTACTTTTGATTTGCTATCAATAAACAGAGAAGCTTTTTAGAAACAGATGGTGAAGTTACCATATCTACCAGCAGGGGTTGATGGGGTAATGCTAACCAGAAAAACCTTGACTCCATATTCTTTAAAAAAAAAAAAAAAAAAAAAAAAAAAAAAAACCTTCCAGGTCCTCTTTCATGAAACCTGAGCAGAATGAATTTTATGTAAATTGTAAAACCATATGTATACTCTGTTTATGTAAGAAAGGGAATTTGTGCTGCATGTGTTTCCTGAACGAAGCCCATTTTTTTATATAGGCATAGACTCTGTATTATTGGTCTATTTTCTTCCTCTTATCACATTGTAAATTGCCTTGTAAACCCATTACAGCTAATAATGATCTCAAAATCTCTATGTACATTAATGTGCTCCCAATCATCAGTCACACATAGCTGATCAGAGCTTCCCAAAATACCCACTGACGTATCCAGGGTAACCCTCTGCTAAATACATGGAGGATGGGTTTTTTTCTTTACCAATTTCAAATTTACATTTTTTTTTTTTTTGTTCAAATGATTTAATGCCAGACAATAACCAACATCTTATTCTGTTTGTTACTCTACATGTCCCTTCTGTTTCTTTTCTCTTCTCTTCTCTTACCCATCCTGCTGTCTCAGAAAAAATTACATGCTGTTTCCCAGCCAAGCTCTACACACACACACACACACACACACACACACACACACACACACACACACACACACACAGGCACGTTGTCCTTCAGTGAGTGAAATGTACACAGTATTACCATCTGGACAACACAGAATAGGCCTACTTACAAGGTATATATATATATATATATATATATATATATATAGCTCAAATAGGCATGTCATAGATTTTTTTATCAGTTTTTATAACTCACTTTGTTTGGTTGAGAATTTGATTCTGTTAAGTAAAAAATATAAAATCTGACTGATTAATGTCTTTGCCATTACTCTACTGACAAAAACATCTATGCCAAGTAAATCAATGGTAGCTGGTTTGTTTAAAAGCTCTCTCTTTCTCTCTCACTCTCTGTTTCAGTTTATGAGTCAAAACCAGCAAAAGCTTTATTGATGTGACTGTAATCATTACAGTATTGTTAAGGCATTCAAGTACTTAAATAGTACAGGGGTATAAAATAATAATATGTCATAAATGAATTTGCTCACGACGCACATGTTGATAAGTGTTATATGTGCTGTCAGACAGACAAATATAAAACACACAAAGATGGAGATAGACACATATACACCTTTAGAGAAAATTAAATGACCTCAAGCTTGATTTTTGCCCCCACTAGACAAGCATGAGTCATGCTCAGACAGTTATTCCAGTAACACTTCAAGAATCCTTCTAACACACAAACACTAGTAGCACACAACTGGCAATGTTACAATTAAGTTGAACACTCTTGATACGTAGTCAACAACAAAAGACTTAAACAAAGAAAGCTTTTCGCCTCCCTTGATGAGCTTATTTATTTTGCTGTGTTACTGTAACTATGAAAGATTATGTGCTTATTTGCACGGTATTTGTATCTAGCAATGCTACAGAATTTCAACGCATTCTCACCCCAAGGCGTCACCTTTGACCATGCTTCAATATTTGACGTTTTAGGCGCCCTTTAGCGTCACTTACATGACGCGATCCTACGGCGTCATCTAACTGACGCTAAAGGAAAGCGTCAGTTAGAGGACGCGGTTAGGTTTAGGTGTGGGGTGGGGGTAGGGTACACGCGATCCTAGGGCGTCATCTAACTGACGCTAAAGGGCGCCTAAAGCGTCAGATATTGAAGCATGTCCAAATGCTTCCCAAGGCGTCAGTTAGGTGACGCCTTGCGAGTGAGAATGGGCTGAGAATTTCCTTGCTGTCCATGACCCAATCAAAATACATTTTTGGGTCCTGACCCATTAGAGAATGTCTGCTCTGTTTCAGTCTTTTGTCAATCTTTTTATCCAGTCTTGAGCTTTTGTATGTGTTTGCTGTAACAATAACCTGTTAAAGCTGAAGTAGAATATGATACAGATAATCTGTGAAAAAAATCAAGGTCCTCTGGATCCTCCCAGTGGTACTATTTCCATTTGCAAAATTCACAGCTCCCGGTCAGAAACAACCAATCAGAGCCAGGAGGAGTGTCTTAGCAGTGTCAATCATGTTCTTGAACGTGCTGATCCCCTCTCTTGTACAGCATGCCATCATTCAAACCAAACTCAAGATTGCTGGTGAGATGCAGCTGTGCTAATTGCGGAGAACCAACCTAATTTCTCGAGTGGCACCTGCTCATTAAACAACGTTATAAAGTTACGTTTCATTTATTGCAAAATATGCAATGATATGAGGGCCAAGTTTGTAGTCAAAGTATGGGCAGGCCTTAGTCAATGTAAAGCATATTGTTGAAGTATCGTCCCAACTAGAAAGTGCCGTAACTGGTTAGAGGGTGGGACCTGTAAGTTGTGCTTGTTCAAATTTTCAGGCTAAAACACATTGGCCACAATTATTGGCACCCCTAGAATTTTTTTTTTTTGTGTAAAATATCTCTGAAGTATATTCCCATTAATATTTACCACTTTTTTAGCACACAAGGATGACTAGGAACAAGAAATTGTATGACTTGTTTCACATGAGTTTAAATATGAGGAAACACAAAGGCCAAAGTCACCTAAACCATACATCACAATGAGTAAAAGCAAAGAATATTTCTGATGATTGTTGAGCATCACAAAATAGAAAGTGGCTGTAAGAAAGTAGTAAATGAATATAAGATCCCCATTTTGACCATCAGGGCAATAATTAAGAAGTTCCATTCAACTAAATATGTTACGAATCTGCCAGGAAGAGGATGTGTGTCTATATTGCCTTAATGCACGCATGGTGTTGCATGGTGAGGAGGAAAGTTTGAGTGCCCAAAGACTCTCCATGGATCACAAATGGAGAATTGCAGAGATTACTTGAATCTTGGTCAGAAGCCAAAAAAAAAAAAGAAAAAAAGAAAAAAAAATCAAACAACCCCTACATCTCCACATATTGTTTGGGAGGGTTTGAAGAAAAATCCTCCCTGCTCATCCAAAAACGAAACGAACTCCAGCAAATTCAGTTGTCAGACACAAATGGAACTTCAAACAGCACAGGTTTCTGTGGTCAGATGTAACAAAAAAGAGCTTTTCGGCAGCAAACACGCTAGATGTGTTTGGTGCACAGTGCACACAAGGATAAAGTACCTCACGTGTACAGTTACACTGTTGGATTGTTGTGGATTGTTTTCCTGGAGGTCCTGGACATCTTGTTCAGATGGCATTGTGGATTTTATCAAACAGATTAAAAAAAATCAAAACCTAACGCCTTTTGCTAGAAATCTTCTAATGGGCCGTGGTTGGATCTTCCATCAAGACGTTGATGGCTCACCCTGTGTGAGTTCTTCAGAATAGAGTGTAATCTGAGTCTGACACAATGGTTATAGATAAAGAAATTAATAAAGAAAGAAAAACAGTTTCTCACTATACTGTTATACTGTTCTCACCACAAAAGGAGGGGGGAATTTGCGCGCAATGTACGTTCATTTGAGTGTCGCCGCCCCACAAGAATTAATGTCTTTTCTTCCATTCTTCTTGGTAGACATTAGGACCGCGCAGACTCTACGGCTGGAGCGTTATATTACTCCAGTATACATTCCCCAAACAACGGGGAACTGGGGGATCGACAAGGAGATTATCTTACCGACGACTTTTTGCACTTTGGATTCAAGGGAACCGGTGTGGATGGAGTTAAAGAATCCCTTTACTCAACCCGCACATTTTACCCACTTGAATCATATCTTCTCTGGCCGCAGAAAGTGTGTGGCTCACTTTTTGGTTTTCCCGTGGAGGAGGACCCTCTGTTGATCCCTCTGTGCGCCCTCTCGGTTCTCCATTCGCCAGACGCGGAGCAGAGCCGCATCACCATCATCATCAGCGCTCGCGCTGTCTCTGTGTCTCTGCTCGTGCAGTCAGGACCCGTGTGCCCTGCTATCCCACCACCATGAATTCGGATATTAACATGTACTTGGGGCGGGAGAAAACGGGGATAATGCGAAAGAGAGCCCTGCTACTCAGGAAAGGCTGCAGTTTCGAAATAACGAGGTGAGTTGAAATGGGGATTGGGGTTTTATGTGGGGAGTGGGCATTTTCGAGAGCGCCGCATCATCCGGTTACCGGATGGTGGTGGGATTGTAAATTATCACAGCACTGTGTACGGCATCTGAGATAGACATGTTTTACTCAAGTTTGTGGGTTTAGGCTAGCTTTCAAGGGGATTTGGCATAGACCAGCAGCATATTAAAGTGTCAAGGCTGTCGCAATGGAGTCTACAAAGCTTTATTGGCATGATTGTCAGCATATATTGCCAAATCGTATTTAGCATTCAAATTATTGGAAAATACAATAACAGAGAATACAGATAATACATAAAATAAATAAGTGTCGAAATAAAAAAGGGGGAAATTGAACATAATAGAAATTGGCATATGGATATAGCCTGTGTGTGTGTGTGTGTGTGTGTGTGTGTTTACTATACATCTCTTACATAGCCTACACACATTTCTTGAGAGTGTAGACGCGAGCCATGGTTCATTAAACGCTGAGACATGATGAGCCTCTAACGGTAACCCACTTTTTCCATCGGGATTCCCCAGCCGTGCGGGAGATCCGGGGTTTCTGTTTGCAAAACAGAAATCAGAGAGCTAAGAATTATTCCTTCCTATAAATGCACATCATGATTATCGACCGTTGCTGTTCTATTTGCAAGAGTATTGTGTTTTCAATATTGTTTTCCATTTCTGTCAGTGAAAGTGAAAGGATGATAGCAGCTCATGTTCAAATGGTTCTGCATCAGTGTCAGCCACACCAACACAAGCACTGGTGGTTCAGCACATGAATATAGTGTGTCTGTGTTTTTGTCACAAATGCAGAGATAGCCTACCTAAAGGAGAAAGGTCACACCCCATTTTGGCCTTGGGACCATCATAGTGTAAACTGCAGTGCTTAGACAATACTGTATAGCCTATTTCTTCTGAATCTTAAGTCATTTTGAAATGAGGGACCATGTATGCACAGTAGCCTATGCAACTATGCATTGGTCTTTCATTAAGTTGCTCTTTGTCGAGTAAACATTTAGACTACTAAATTACTGTTCCCATATTACATGTTATTAGAATTGATTAGGCTTTTGATAAGGGGTGGGGTTAAGGATCAGGGGGCGGAGATAGGATTAGGTAGGCCCTATATGTAAGGTGGAAGTCAGTAGCACCTCATTGCATTCAGTAGTCAGTAGCACCTCATTGCAGTACATGATTCAGGAGGTGGAGTTGGATCCAGATCTAAGGGTTGGAGATGGGTAGGATTAGGGGTGGAGTTAGGCAACAAGGGGCAGAGATGGGTAGAATTAGGTATATGTAAGGTGGGAGGAGTTGGATCCAGATCTAACTCCTCCCACTTTACATATTAGGTGTGTTCGACATCGGCTGAGGCTGGATGTAAGCGATCGGCGAGAGTAGCCGCGTGCAGGCGGGGAGGAGCTGCAAAAAGAGACGTGAGGTCGGACACTTTCTGGTTCCCGTAGTGACCGCTCACGTGGTGTTTGCATACTTTACCACAGCTGAAGTGAAATAAATGCAATATTTGCCAAATACACAGATATTTCAGGTCACATTTTCATTCAATACTAGGCTACTGCTTCATACAGCATCTGTTTGAATTAGAATAAAGTTCAAAATAAGCCTATATCAATGAAACTTTTTTCAATCAGTTTTATTTTGATAAACATGACACAATATAACATCGCAAATACATGAAAAGACTGTTTACTGTTACAAAAACTGATTTGTGAGCTTTAGTGGAACTAAAGGTGTGAGAATAAACACGAAACTCTCGAATCGCTCTTGCGGCTACTTTGATAGCATACGTCACAGTCACGTGGAGTCAGCGCTGCATCGAGTCGGACAAAATTTCTAACCGGCATGCATTGCTTCAAGTCAGCCACCGATCGGTCTGCGCAGAGCTGCATGAAGTCGAACAAGCTTAACCATCTCCGCCCCCTGATGCCTAACTCCACTTAACCCGTATTTTCGTCTGCGAAGTTGTGTTTTAAATGGAAGTCACTTAATTGTATATTAAACTAGTATATTTGTTATATTTTGATAAAAAAACAACACTTTTTGTGTGATTGCTTAATTATATCATATAAATATAGCATAAAAGACATTTTTTTTTACTGGATTTTAAATAAATCACGCAGGGAGAGGGTGCACGTGCAGTAGTCTAACCTAAACCTAAATGATCATAGATTATATATATTGTAGGCTGTATTACACTCCTGGTAAATATGATTTAAAAAAAAAAGTGCATATATCTAACCTTTCATTGAAGTAAAATAATTGAAAAAAAAGTGTGGGGGAAATCACATCATGTTATGTTAGATGTAGATGTTATCAATCTAAGGCCAAAGACTCTTCAAGGATCACAGATGGAGAATTGCAGATATTACTTAAATATTGGGGTCAGAAAAGCCTAAAAAAAAATATGTCAATCTACCCCTACGATTAAACAAAAAAAGGGCTTTTTGGCAGAAAATAATACGCTAGAAGTACCCCATGTATACAGTTAAATATAATGTTGGATCATAAGCTGTGGGCCTTTTTTTTTTCTTTTTTTTTTTTTGCTAGAGGTCCTGGACATTTTGTTCAGACACATGGTATTATGAATTCTAACAGATACAAAATCTAAACCTGACAACCTATCCTAGAAATCTTAGAATGGGCCGTGTTTGGATCTTCCATCAAGACAAAGGTCCAAAATAAACATAAAAATTAACTTTAAATGGGTAACTAAGCACAAAATGAAGCTTCTGCCATGACCATCCCAGTCCCCTAAACTGAACCCTATAGAAAATTAGTGGGGTGAACTGAAGAGAAGAAGCACCAACATGAACTTGTCAGGTGTTCTCCAAACTATCAGGCATTATAGAAAAAGACTCAGAGCTGTTATCTTGGAAAAAAGAGGCTGCAAAAAGTATTTAATAACAGGGGGCAAATTATTATGAAACAAGAAGTCATAGACAATTTCAGGTTTAGTCATTCCTAGTCAAATTTTGGCCAACGTGTTTTGGAAAATGTGATTTGACCCCCACTTTCAATTCTTTTGCTTCAATGAAAGTTTAGATTTGTGCATTGTTTTATTAAAGATCAAAAGGATAAACAATGCAGATTTATTTTTTTAAATATATTTTTTATTATATTTACTAGGGGTGCCATTAATTCTGACCACTACTGTATAATATGGCTGATAGTTCTGGTTGTCAAATTTAGTGAGTGGAGCTATCTTTTGTATTACTCATCTTGTCCATGTTTGCGCATTCTAGACAGACTGTCAATCTGTTATTTAGTGGTAGAGATTGTTCAGAGACCCTTTCTGCTGGTTACATAATTATGCAAGTATGTGGTGACACATTTCTGTCTTTGTAAGTGAATGAATCATTTTAAATGTTCTTATTCCTATACATACTCATAGATTATGTGATTTTGAATGTCATTGAATCATTCATTCAACCATTTCATTTAAATCAAGAGCAAAACTAATGTGTATTGCTCTGATACACAATGGCTACTTCTACTGTAGTCTGGCTGTACATTTTGAATTATTTCAACACATTCTCACCCCAAGGCGTCACCTTTGACCATGCTTCAATATTTGACGTTTTAGGCGCCCTTTAGCGTCACTTACATGACGCGATCCTACGGCGTCATCTAACTGACGCTAAAGGAAAGCGTCAGTTAGAGGACGCGGTTAGGTTTAGGTGTGGGGTGGGGGTAGGGTACACGCGATCCTAGGGCGTCATCTAACTGACGCTAAAGGGCGCCTAAAGCGTCAGATATTGAAGCATGTCCAAATGGCGTCAGTTAAGTCGTCCCAAGGCGTCAGTTAAGTGATGCCTTGGGGGTGAGAATGGGCTGATTATTTTAGTTTGTGGTCCAAAATTAGACAAACTGGCAATAATGTGTCTAAAATGTGAATATTAACTTATTGTACATTGAACCGTTACATAAATCAACTACAGAGAGTCCATCAAGAATGCTGTTGGTCTGAATATATATCAGCTGTGATACTTGAAGCACTATGACCAAAAATTGCTTAATATCGTCAATAGGCTGCATGGAATGTACCTTATTTCTATAAAAGCTACACAAATCCCTTCCCATATAAACCACTAATTACTTGCTTCCCAAACAAGCAGCAAATAACTCTATCGGACAGACGTATTGTGTTCAGACATGGGCATTGATGAGGAGGAGAATGCATCAGCCCCTACTGACATGTAGGTGAGAGGCTCACTGCTTTCATTTTATTCCTCCATAATGTTTCATCATGAAGACAGCCTTTTCTCAAGTGCAAGAGTATAACATGACCATTCAGTTGTTTTGAAGGCTACACACAAACACACATGCACAGTACTGTGTGTCTTTACAAAGAATGTCTTGTGAATTGCAGTGACATTGGTGAAGGCTGACAAAATAGTGCTGTCCATTATGGAGTTCTATTCTATCGTATGTTTCTAACAGCGGTCTATTTTGCCTAATGTGCTACCTTTTATCTTTCTGTACTGAAGACTACTTGAATAACAAAGTCCTCCTTTCTCTACTAGTTCCTTTCTGTGCTCATTCACGCACCATTTATTTTGCTTTTGCTTATCTACTTTCTTTTGTAGCCTCTCTGTCAGGAATCAGTTGTAAACACCTCTAATGGGACTTTAATTTCCTCAACATTATAAATCATTCAAGACACAAAGATACCTGTTGTTTATTCTTGTCTTTTTCAGTCAGTCAAAATAATGAAAATTAAAAAAAGAAATAAATAATGAAAAAAAGAAATTGAGAATCTTGAGATAATCAATTCCAGACTCCATGTATTTTTAATCAAATAATGAATTTAATTACAAGACATTGTATATAGACATACAATAACAGAGCCTCATTGTGACCATAGAACGGATAGCAAAGCATTTTATAGCCATTTTTTTTTTCCTTTTCACTATAGAGGAAAGAGAACTAATGTATTCTTGTGGATTTGACTGTGTTGGTTTTGTGTTA